TTCTATCTTATCCTATCTGTCCTATTCTATCTCCTAGATCTCCTTCAACCAAATCATACCGATTCTAGAAGTTAATAGGAGAATGCTGCGCGTACTGTACTGTACCACAGACATAGCCTTCCTTTGACCTTCTATTCCAATTATTCAGCCCCCCCTTCTTTTTCTTTTTCTAGTCCAACCCGATACATATACACCCAAGCTCCTTCAAGATAATTAATTCGTTCATTCAACCTCACATTCCCACATTCCCACATTCCCCCATCCCCCCTACCAATCTACATACGGAAGCCCGGTACACCTACCTACAGTAAATTACCTACCTAGCCGGCAGAGTATTAAAGTTTTCAAACCCCCAAAGCCGTGCTGTGCTAGCTAGGATTGCGTGGGGTTCGCGGCCGTAATGAAATTACTTACTTAATACCAAGGGATATCAAATCAATGAAACAGACATACACCAGAAAGATTAGTTATTATCATTAAAATCTACTTCGAGAGTAGGGAGGAAAAAGAATAAGAGGAATAGGAGGAATTATTATCGAAGTCTCAACATGCGTTTCGACGGAGACACACAGACACACGGACGCCAAGTTCCGCGCGCTACCTCGGAGGTATGGGAAGGGAATTTCCATTTAGAAGTAGACAATAATTAAGCTTTTCATACAGTAGCTCCTTTCTAGAAGCTCCGTTCTAGAAGCACCGTTCCCTTCGGTTCATTTCGTAAAGTTAGCTTTCGTATACATATGCGATGGCTTGGCACCGATTTCCTAATCGGGCGCGCCTGGCGCGGGCGAGGTCTGTCTGTCTGTCTGTCTGGACAAAGAAACAAACAAACAGACGGCGTTAAATAAAACGGCCGGCCTCCTGTCTGTCTGCGCCATACGGCAACAAAAAGTCCCGAGAGGGATGGGATTCGAACTTCGAAGCCACAGCTAGCACAGGGCGTGTGGACTGGTATACGCAGTCGTTGCGCTAGCATGTGTAGGGGTATTGCTCAGCCTTTTTTGGAGAGAGAGCCCGGGATTCCGTCACTGTATTCACTGGCTCGCTCGCTCGCTCGCTCGCACAGCCTTCAGCCAGCAAGCAGGGTGGGGAAATGCGGTAAGAACTTTAACGTACAGGTAGGTGCATTCCCTGAGAGCACTGCACTCATGTCAGACGCTACTAATTCCCATGGGAAATCAAGACGGGGACCCAATGGGAGTCGATAATTGATGTTGTGTGCATATTTAGATTTCCGTCAAGGGGGAAATAGATTGCCTCCAAGTGATGCCTGCTGTTGTCAGGGAATAGGCTTGAGTGTTGGGCAGCTCCAGAAACCGAGTGTCGAATTATGGCTCAGGAGAAAGGGGTGTCTAGGAATAATTCTGGTGATTAGTACCGTAGAGGGACCCTAGAACCATGCTTCCATGTTTTGAATGCTTGGATATATGCGGTAAGCGCATGCAGCGCATGTGGTAAATCTGAAGGGTGGATACCGTGAGAGCGGGTATGGAAAGTGCGTGCTGAGATCTTAACCTGGGAACACACCCACCAGTCTAACGGGTTGTATAATTATATCAGCACTCAAAGTTTCAAACCCCATGGGATAATAATAGGGGTAGTTCTCGTTACAAGGGAGGATGTTGTAATCTCCACAGCTCCCCGTAAACTCCCACGATGCTCTCCTGAAACGTGGAAACTATTATGCAAGAAGCTGCCGCGCTGCCACGTTCCCACGCTATCACACACCTTCCTAACCTGTAAGAGATCCCCCTTTGGGGGCGTTTGAACGGTTTATTATTCGGGAGGTGGCTTGCATACTGCTTGGTTCAGCGCGGCTACCAAGCCCTACCGCCTATCTGTAACAGTGTGAGGATTCAAGACGGTCCTCGTAAGCCTGATAGGCTGTTAGTCCCTGGTACAATTACCACATGGCACGATAGGGGCAAGACCCCGTACATAATATGGGCCTCGTTCAATCCTCTTGGCCGTTTTCAATGCCGTATAGACCAAATAGGCTCCGACATAGCATGGGCAAGGCCAAATATAGCTGGTTGGTTGACAGGAGTCTAAAAAAGACAGGAGTATGGATTTAGCATTTGGATTGAGTATTCCGTATAGAAATATGCAATAAATAGGAATACTAGTAACAATGCCAATAAACTCAAATCATACACGATCTGACGAGCGAGGGCATCCCAAAAAGGGTACTTTGATGCCAAGGAAAGCATGAAAATTCCAAATGGGCAATACCCGCTCTCACGGCAAATACGGAAGATCGGATTTGATGGTATAATCAAATGCCATGGACAGTGGCTATGCTATACCGACGACAATGAAACATGGAATGCCGAGTTTCCCAGCGTGATACCCGTAACTCGGAACACCAGGAACTGGTACTGTAGGCAGGCAGAACAACGGTGAACGTCTTCACCGCAAGACCTGGGGTTGGAGAGGACATGGAGACCAGAACTATGGCCGAGGAATAGTAGGAATAGATTACAGCCAGGCCCAGAACTTCTTGATCTAGGGCAGAAAGTTTTGTAGTACAGGGATTGCGTTGCCTAAAACGCACGCCGCGAGACAAATGATTGATGGGCTAGTAGACACCAAGCAAGATTAAGGTCTGAGGAGAGCGGTGATGAGAACAATGCAGCGTGGTTACATTACAATCAGTGGTGAAGCTCAGGTGGTGGTTGGAATGCGCTGCATTGGAACACATTGGGCCTGTGAAATTGACGTTTGAAGCCGGGTAGGGCTGAGAGGGAGGTTCAAATCATGTCATGCGCCACCAGCTGCCACCAAGTACCACCAGATGGGCAGTCGGACCTACCGGAAGAGACATAGCATTGGAATTAAAATGCAAAGGGTGGGTCAAAGGTGGAATACAGCACGGTGCTGGTGGAGCAGTGTGAATCGTCGAGCCCGACTCTTCCTCCCTCTTCACCGTCGTCGTATCTTCGCGAGACTCGCTAAGGTACGATCTCTGGACTGCGATTGGTGTAGAAGTGCATTGCAGGGGCCTTGGACCTTCCATGCACCCAAGATTCTGCGGTGTGTTGAAAGAAGTGTCGGGGTGACGAGGGGTTGGAAGGAAAGGTAGGGGCCCCATGCACCCCTACAAATGAAACCCTGTCGCCTGTACACCTTTGTAATCCGAGGCGCAAAAATAAACATATGACAAAGCACGTGCGTTCCGTGCCTCTTTCTAAAAGGAGGCAAGGTTACGTTTAAATTCATGTGTGGAATCTTGGATATTACGGAGTAATGGTGACAAATTCCCGGTAAAGGTCAATTTTAGGGCCAAAACCCACGCGGCATAGCTCTGCTCTGTGCCCCTCTGATCTACCCATGTCTGGAGGAGCCATACCCGCTACGGGAATATTAAATGAGCCAAACAGAGCCAACACAGTACGAGTTGATTGCCCGAAGCGATATAGCATGAGGCAGTGTATATAAATTTACACGAAATTCTTGACTCTGGAGTACAAGTAGATAAAGAGGGTTATACTTGCGATAATTCTTCCTTCGAAGCGAAGTGCCATCGTTCTACAGCTATCCAGGTAGGAGAATGGCTTTGGATACGACTAACGCTGGTAGGTAGTTGGTTTGTCCAGAGGACGGTTGGACACAAAACTCTATTTTACGACATGTGCGTCGGATTCTATATCCCTAGATCCAATTCCAGGACAGCACCCCTAAAACATTCGAAGAGTTGGTCAAGACTATTTCAGATTCCTGAAACCAAATATAGATGTGAAGGTTAATAAGGTAATCATCAATTGTCTCGCTTGCAAGAGTGTCTTGCATAGAAGTCTGAATAGGGCTGTTTGCCAAGCTTTTTAGGAGAAAGGGGGACGATTGTACCTTTTTCCTGCCTTCCATTTGTGGTAGTCGACGGCGGCCGTAAAACCCTCCGCTTTTGCCACTAGTTCTTTCCATTCGTTCTCCTTTTAGAGATTATTGTTACAGGGTTTCATGATTCCAAACGGTAAAAAGCGACCGGCGCGGCGCCGAGCATTATTTTGCCTTTGATGTGTGCGTGCTTTTCCCAGAATGTGGGTTTGCTAGGCAACAATATTCGGTACTTTTTAGAGCCTCTCGAAAGTAATTTGGCATCGCAAAGTCCTTCTATTACCGGTACCCAAGACGATTTGTTTTCCCTTCTAGAGGCGTTGTCGCTGTTCCCGTAGCGTTCGCAAAAAGAAACTCCCCCTTTGCGAGCACTGCACTGTGATTAGATGAAGATAGCCGTCTCCTGAACCCTCATTGCCGGCCCATTAATAGTTCATGGCTTCATTCGCCCACCGCACGCCGTAGGGCTGCTATGGATCTTCGATGATAATCTAGAATTACAGTAGAGACTGTACTTGTAGGCTTAGCGTAGATCTATTCCTAGTATCACTGCTGGGTTGGTGCGGTGCGAGCGAGCTTTCTGGTTGGGCCCTCTGTACGAGGCTTGCATCCCCAGCAACTTTGGCTTGGGACTTAGTTTCTATTCTTAAAGGCTGCTAATTAGCCAACTATACGAAATCGGGATCCTATGCCTTAGCGCGTTCCCGGGGTGAAGCAGAGTTGGTGTCGCTGTACGTAGTAGCGTACAAATGCTGGGTGGCTGAGAGACTAACCCTTTGGGATCGTTGACTCGAAAGCCCGCAGAATGTCGGCAAGCAAGGTGCGTGGCTTTTGCGAACAACGGTCGAAAAGGCGGCCGGGAAATGGTAAATAAGCAGGGGGAGCCGTGCAGGGGCTTTGTGCCAGCCTTAGTAGGGGCAACTATGACAGGGTTCTCGTTTGTAGCTGAATCTTGGGGAGCAGGGGCTCTATAAGTCCGCATGGCTGCGGAGTAGGAGTTGTGTAGTCCCGCGATTTACATATATACTCGAGGGAGATCCCCAATTGCGGCGTCTCGAGCCTTGTTGAACACAGACCTTGACCATCATTTTCCAAGTCTCTGCTTCGAAGCATTCATCTTCCTCACTCTACATCTACACATCCCCAGTTATCCATTCATAACCAACATGTCTGGATCACAGAGTTACTCATACCCGACTGCCACGGCGTCGAGGCATATCACCGCACATGGCACCAGCAGTGCTTTCAGCAGTTCAGCAAATCCAGATGAGGATTGGACCAAGATATCCGATCTTGCTGAGCGCAGAAGAATCCAGAACCGTATTGCTCAAAGAAACTACCGTGGGTAACTCCATCTGCTCGCCCACAGCACAGTTAGCTAACCCACTCAATAGGCAAGAAGCTAAAGAGACGCCTCGAAGACCTCGAGAGACGGGCAGGATCATCATCAGCATCCCCACCTCAAATACATGCGGAAATCCAACAGCCAGACCGCCGCGAAAGCGTCCAGCAGTACAAGAGAAGCCCGGAATCTTCGCACAGATCTCCCAGACTTGTTCCAACTCAGCAGTACACACCACCAATGCACAATGACGAGGAAATAATGTTTGGCCAAAGCTATGACCGAGAAGGGTCTCGAACACCTCCTCTATTCGCATATCACTCTTACCCCGCTCCTGAAGACATCGTCTACCCGCCATATCCTCAATCACAACCATACCGAGCGGTGACTACTGGCGAATATGATTATATGCAACCTGTACCGGTCACTCTGCCTTCGATGATGCACTTCCAAGATTCGATTAAGCGCGAGAACGAAGACACCATGAGCCCGTTCGCCATGAGCTATCAAGGACTTCCGGCCATCGATATTCACTCTTCTCATGGATATGACGATTCAAATCCTCATGTGAGTAAAGTCCGAGCTCCACAGCATCTGCTGAGCCGTGTCTGACTTGTGAATTTGAAGACTCCTCCTCTTTCACATTCATATGATCACTCGACAACATGTTCGGAGTCGGGGTATTCTCAATACCCGACCACGCCTCTCTCGATGCCTCCTTCGCCGCGACTCATGACACAAATATGAGCGAGTGTTTTGCATTGGTATAATGATTGTTTGGTTTTGGGTATGGTGTATGAAAAACGAGAGTCGAAGCGCTCGACACTCAACAGAGAGGAATTCTCATGAATATGATTTTGGAAGCTGGAATGGGTAGCATTGGTAGTCTGGTGTTGGCGTTTGTTCTTTGTTACCAGCAAGAAACCTGGGGTTTTTTTCTGGGCTGTAAATACCCTGCCCCTCCGCACAACACTTGTTGTTTGAGCTTCAGATAACAAGAATGATAATCTTGACAATTGCATTACTTTGCCCGCGCATGCAACTGTTGTTGATACTTGCAACTGCCTGTAATACTTGACTCCATCATTTGTGATAGGCCTGGTTTCACTCAGTGGGGCTATCAACACATCATAGCCTCAGAGCCCATAGCCACGACGGGTGTCAAAGGCCCAAGCAGAAACGGGTAAGTTTGGCACGGCATTCGGCCTCCACTTTGCGGTAGTGCCTATCCGGCCGGCCGACGCAGAGTAGGTGGGAGATTATTATTTGGCCGAACCGTGCTTGTACCGTATTTCACGTAACCATCTGGGTCGGTCTACTTGTAGAAAGTGGCGCAATGAGAATACGGAGTTCTGTGCGAGTACTTGCTCCGCAACTTTCGCTGTGCCACTCTCTCTACCTCTATCCAGAATAGAATGCAGCGCGCTGGCCGTAGTCGCGGGCGCAAAGCTCTCGTGAATATTAATCGGTCTCCTGAGACCTGTGCAGATCCCTCGAGACTACGTGATGTGATGCACGGCCCTGACTGGATGGAAGTCGGTCCAAACTACTCCGTAGGTTATCCAGACGCGAGAGTCGAGACACGAAGGAGGAGCGATGTCGATCGCGTTGCAGGCACAGCGAGGCGTAGGAGTGGGATGGTTGCAGCAACTTGCATCACTGTAGGATCAGGCCGTGGCGGGAGAGAGATCGAGTAGTCTGAAAAACGGGAGCTCGTCGATGAAGGATCAACACGATCAACAAGACCCGCGCGCGAGTCGATTTAAGGTGCTGATGGATGCGGTGCGATGCTCGAAGTTAGTAAGCATGAGAGAGAGAGCAAGGCAAGGCAGGAATCTGGAGGTTTGCCGATCAGGTCCATGTACTCCAGTATAAGCGCGCGTCTGCCGCGGCAAGGCTGATAGTGAAGTCATCAAACAAACCACAATTTTTTGACTTATATTCTACATAGCAGTCTCCATTTAAACTCATATCCCTAGCTGTTCCCTCCATCAACGATCCACCCTACGTATAATCTTTCCGCAAAGAGACCTCCAGGTTTGTCATCAAGTACCTGGGTAGCTGGTGGTAGCGAATCTCTTTTTCATTTTTACAACAGCTTCAACCCCAAGAGTCAGTTCCCGGATATGGGGTCACAAAACTATGGAATGGCTTTACAAGCACCACCGCAGTCAACTCTGTTTGGCGGTAGCCTGTAAGTTTGTAGTCAATGCCGTGTAAATGCTTTCTTCACGCCAAAGTTTATTACTAATGCTTTTTGAATTCAAGCCCGTGGTCACCCCTTGGTACGTAACCCCACAGAGCCCCATTTGGAATCATCGCAGGACTAACTATCGGGTCAAGATTGGACAAGTTCAGATGACAGTGTCCGAGGCGGCTCCTCCTACTCCGAACTCGCATGCAACCCTCCCTCGCCCATTGCCGTCTTCCGTGGAAATCTTGATATTGAGACCCTTGGCGGGGCAGGCTTCGCATCACAGAGAACAACCGGAGAGAACCGAATTTGGGATGTATCAGACTACGATGGACTGTTGCTCGACGTCACGCAGGCAGATGGGAAGCAGTATACTCTGACGCTGAAGGATGAGCTCCTACCCAAAAGTCCAAACGGACGAGAGCAGAGTACAATAAGTTGGGAGTATGACTTCAAGCCCAAACATGGTGGGGAGAAGGTGTTTGCGAAGTGGCATGACTTCACAGCTACATACAGGGGAAGGGAGATGCCAGATGCCAAGCCATTGGATTTGAAGCGTGTTAAAAGAATCAGTCTCATGATGAGGAGGTAAAACCCTCGCCTGTAACATCTAGGATATGGACTAATGAGAATACAGTTTCTTCGGTACCCAAGAAGGGGAATTTTCGCTGTCCCTTGTTTCAATATCAGTTGCCAAAGCTCCCAAATCAACCTATGAACCCTACCGAGACGACCCAACAGAGCAATCTGGCCGAACCCATAACGAGAAGACTGAAATGGACCCAAACAAGTCAAAACAAAGTTGGTTGGGTTGGTTACTTGGATTTTGTGGTGTAGCATAGCCTCACAACCAACAATATGTTTCGGGTCGCACAAATTGATCCATGTCATTGGTTCCCTATCCGGGCCCCGTCAGATGCTTTCGCTGAAATGTTCTATTGGTGAAACAAGACCTGGCCTAGATGAAGAAATAAATGCATATGTATTGCTTAGAGTAAGGAATACCTGTCTCGGGTCGTCTCTTGAAGTTGCCATGTTGATACCAGTATAGTATGTCGCGGCATTGCCTGGATATCAAGTCACCAATACGGTTAGCATCACGCATCAGTCATCTGATCTCATCCTATGTTTCACAGCCAGCACGCTTGCTGTTGCCGATCAGCATCACAATAACTCTAACAGCACTTCATGCCTCTTCCCATGTTAGCAAAGTTATTGCTTGTGTTTTCATTTTCGACATCTCCGCGGAATCCATGGAGATTTCGAATCAAGAACTTCCAGGCATTCATCGCGCGTCTCGGGCATTCGGCATTTGCTTGACAGAGCCTCAAAGCACTCGCATCGCCAATATCGAGACGCACGACATGGGTATACGCGTAACAAATTCATTACTCATACAAGACGGGCGTATTGGCTTCCCCTTTGTATACAAATAATGCAAGGCTACGTGTGTACCCCAAGCTACTCCGCACTCTTTAGGGAGCCAAGTGGCACAGCATTCGCAACAGATGACCACAATAGGCACACACACAAGTGTTACAACTCTATTCAGACCCTAATACTAATCATGTGCATGTGCATCTTCCACGTTCGATTCCACGACAGAAAATCCGCGCATGGCGACCCCTCCCATCCTTTTAGGCTCAACTCGAACCCCTCCCTCGACCCAAAATCCATCCACCGCCATTCCCCCAATACGATGCCAGCCCACCAATCATCTCTCCGCATTACCTGCATTCATCCCCTGCCAAACCCCTGCCCAACCCTGTATTTTTCAAAAGCCCGCCTCTTTATCTCCGTGCATGGCGTTCTTGGCAAGATTTTAAATCCGCCAACATACAACGTGGCCAGTCATCGCCGTTTTGGGGCCCAGAGCCGCCATCCATGAACCCGAATGTCGAACTCAAAGTCATGATAAGACTCTGTTGCCTTGGATGGCAATGCAGCCTTTTCATTTCTGTACTGCAACGCAAACCTTCACACCGCAAGAATCTCAGATTGCAAATCAGAATGGAGAATACCCGCCAGTACAGGGCATCGGCGATGTCCTTGATGTAATAGTGATTGCACACCTCTATTTGTTTTCATCCATCTATTGATTCATAATTGCCTCCACCATTTAATTTTAATAACACCCTATCGTCTCATGACACCCTATCTCTAAATGCACCGTACCATACTTTGCCTCTCTCCTCAGTCCACCATCCTACCCCTCCGCCGTCTCGTCTTCGCCTGTGGAGGTCAAATGAAACTAAATCCAGCACGCCGTTACATTCATCCTCTTCTATTTTCTTCCAACATGTCCTACTAGACTACTTGTACTAGCCACCCATCCTCCTTACGCCACATGACTTTCTTTCCCTTAAACACTTCACGACACTTTTAGCCATCTCGCTTCTTTACCTTTTCTTACATACTAGTGTCCCCCAGAACACGTTCAGCATCTGATGCTTCGCTTCCTTCCCACATGGCACCCCTTCCCCTTCCCTTGTCATGGCTATCAGCCCCACGACCTTTACTCAGCAATCTCGTTTTACTCATCTCATTGCCTACAGCCTCTTGGTCCTCTCATTGGATACTCTATACATGGAAAACGTGGCATATACCCAAGAAGGAAAGTTACACAACGAAAACCATCGGCTTGGCATACATTATTGGTTCCTTCCTCCTCCCCTTTCCCCTTCATCTCCACTCACACTTCCACTTCCACTTTTCCCAGGCATACTGTATATAGATAGCCTTACTCCGTACCTTTCGCTCGGGGAAGCTGATGTAAGTTCTTTCTTTGGCTTTTCCATCGGAACGGCAGGCGCTCGGCCAAATGGCTGCGAAGACGTTTTGTCATTTGTTCAGGATCATGATCATGCACGCATGCCCATGTGCGCTCGCTGCATTGTGCAGGGGGAAATGATTTATGGGGAACACCGAGCATATGGACACGGGTACGGCGTACGCTGAAGGAATGTAGTGGGGGCGGTGACGGGAGAACACAGAATAGATATGTAGGGGCCATGTGGCTTTGTGGGTTCAACTTGCATCCCGGTAGTAATGATTGATGATCAAGAAGGAAAGGGGAGGTACAATACTTTCGGGACGTACTTGCTCGTCCAGGGGCCAAGGGAAGTTAATTGTGGGTCCGGAAGGAGTTTAGACATGTTGATTAACGGCGAGACGAGACGGGGGCTTTTTAAAATAGATAAAGGATTGTATCGGATGCTGCAATTGTAGTCTTGGCCAATGAATACGGCGCTCTCGTTCATATACGACTCGTATAGGATGTGGAATTGTGGGTCTTTACTCCATACGATCCCCCTTTTTTTGAACTAGCCGTGTGTTTGGAGGTGTCCCTTCTCCCCTGGGGCGTTCAGGAGTCTAGGGAACAGAAATCTCTTTTCTTCCGAGGCTTAATGGAAGGCTCCCATTCAAGACAGCAAGCAAGGTGGAAGAGCATCAAGCGAAGTCTTTTGTTTGGATAGTTAAATGGATGATTGTAATTTTTATAATATGTCAGTGTAGCAAATCTAAGTCAAATTCATCACTTCCTAAGCGTGTGTAAGTCGGAGTCAGGAATGGAGTTCACTCCATAATCACCCCTGCCGTCATCTCACCTTTGAACTAGAGACCGGGGTTTTCAATTTCTGGGCTCTTCTGCTTAACTATTATACCAAGAGACAGCAGACTGCTGCACTCTTCATACCTACGGGCTTTTCACCTTCGAGATATCATTTAAAAAAATGTCTGGAAGTTCTATTCTCGCAGACTCCCGTCCTGGCTTTCCCGCCGTCACCAAGAACTCGTTTTTTTAAGGGACAGACAATACATTGCACGACACTCCCCTACAACCCTCTTCGATCTCAGTCAACCCATCCCAACCAAGTTGAACACAAGAACCACAAAGACATATGCAAACATCGCACAACCAACGACGCTAGCCGTGTTCCGAACGGTAAACACAACTCTTAATTAGCACCACTGGAAATCCTCCACCTTGAAGAATATCCATCCTCTCGATAACAGGCTAAATGATATAGTAACGGAACGCGTGGCCCCTCTAGCAATTCTGAAGGTAATGTATTAGAGAGGAACAAACAACAGACACGGCTCTTTCAACAACTAGCAGCCATCAAGAACGCCAGGCCGAGTGAGACTCGAGACATATCTACCTACCAACCCCACTCCACCTGCAGACAGCCCTCTTCTCCCTTCTCTCTATGAACTAGAGGAACAGCAGAGAATTATCGATACTGCAGGCTCTTCTCGAGACACGAAGATAACAAATTGATAGCCAAGGCCCGAGAAGAGCTCCGGGCGGAGCGGTGGTATGTGAAATAGTCTTCTCAGCTCTGATATCAAGTGACGTGCGATTTGAGAGAAATAGAAGTCCTTGCGGCGTGTCTTCAATCAGGCTGTGGAATTTGCTCCAAAGGTGATGACCAGGACCAGCTGAAGCCAGGACAATGGATAGCTGCATATGCACAACTTCCTCACTTAACTAGAATCTGAAGCTGACAACCTCTAAGATGATAGAGGTAGGAGGCGGTTAGCTTGCTATTGAACCCGAGGCACGTAAAGTTAGCTGTTTGATCTCTCCTGGAAACGCGTGGTGGTGTCTGTCTTTGAAGGTGGAAATTGGTATTTCAATCCATCATTCAAGTGTGCCTCTGGTCGCTTATGTAGAAAGATAATAGGCTGAAGTTGCGAGGTAAAGCAGTAGCTTCCCTATCATCAAAGCCATGCCAACGTACGACATCAGATCAGTGACCAAGTCGGGTGTGTCTCCAGTTATATTTCAGATTTGAAGCACGCCTAGTTCTGCTGGGCAGGCTATGTGGGATGGTGAAGCCTAGCTTGAACCTGCCCGGAGCTGCCGAATGTATCAATGGCCCTCCAGCTAGCAGCTTTGCAGACTTTGCACTCGCCCTATCCTTCGTTGTCGATGTCTTCAGCAATCAAACCCACCGGACCGAGCATAGTGGACAGGAGCAATTCGACACTCACGATTTGCAGCCCTTCAATGACTATGGAATAGGGTATTACGGTAGATTATGATTCGGTAGGAAACATGCTCCCGAATCACTACTGTTCATGGTGGGTAGCTATGATTTGGGGACGAGACAGGATCTTTTTTATCCTCAACACTTGATGAAAGTAATATAGAGGGAACCAGGGATATGCTTCATATCTACTCGATCGGTATGCTTGTACGACCTCAGCCAGCTTTGTCTTCAGGACTTTCCCTGCCATTGTGCGCGGGGGCGGGTAATCAGATAAACCTAAGTCTTGAACAGAAATCACTTCATCGGGAATGAACTCAAATCCCATGCTCCTCCTAACTGGGAACATGTAGTTCAGACTAGTCTAGCGCGCTGTGGTCTTTTTCGAAGAGGCAACTTCGATGCCGGGCGCCTAAACCGGATGGACAACACCATGACCTACAACGCAGGGAAAGGAGTTCCAGCCGACCAGCAGGTTTACTACAGAGCGTTGGCAGCGCGTAGTGTGTGAAAATCACAACCACTTCAAAAAAATGGCACATCCCCTACTTTTGTGGTATAGGGGGAAAGAGATCATTTTCAACTTTCAATATATCTTCAGGCTCTCAAACTTTTCTAGCTTTCTTTCCACTTGTTTAGACGGCTATCTTGAGTCTATCATTTTGAGGCCCAACGATACCAGAGGCAAGCCACGGGGTCATCTTGGTTGATCCCATTGGCTCATCATGCTGTGTAAAATGAACAAGAACAAGAACAAGAATAGGAAGATGAGAGATATTTCGGAGCGAAATAATACAAGGTGATACGGTAATGCCATTGTATCTCTTTCTTATCTTTCCGCAAAGCTTGACGTAATCTAGAGCATGCACAACTTGCATACAACAGAAAGCCTCCTCCCGTTGCAATGCATCGCGCCATTGCTTTCCACCGACCCAGATGCGATTGACGTGGAAGAAACAGAGAAACATATGCTGTGCTACCATCCTATCTCCCCCTCCCTTCCCACACGACGAGTCTCTTAAGCCGTAGCTAGGCAGCTGAAGGCGCCTCTCAAAGTCTTCTGGACAAGAGAAGCGCGCAGTACATGCTTTCTTCTCTGGGCTGTTCGCACGCGATTCAGGTGGCAATTGAAGCTGGGGAAAAGAAAAGAAGACTTCTTCACGAAAACCTCAGCTGTATAATAGATGGTCTCATGACAGCCTCAGCGCAAAACGTGTGCTTAGAAAACAACAAGTCTTGGAACATAGGCGTTGCCTACACGATATGTGATTGTATGCTGGAAACGTGATGCCTTTGAGCGGAAGTTTGAGCGAATAAAGGGAGGAATAAAGGTAGGCGAGGTAGGGTATCTACTGCACCGCACCGCACCCCAGAAACATGGCAATCCACTGTAATTTAGCTCACCCTAGTGTTTCTTCGCTCTTTGACAGGCTATCTTGTTGCTTTTTACGGGGGCTTTGTTTCCACAAACCTTCCCCGCCGCATCCGTACGTACAGCGCCCGCCGTCTAGAACACGCCAGCTCTGGGCACTCGCTGTGAGTGGCTGGCTGTCAGAATGCAGGGCCCATCTCGTCCCGCAACCTCATGCACATGCACATGTTCTCCTCCCCCTCTCTCGCGCTGACTGTGAGCTCTCACCGTATCCAAAGCCACCTTGCCCTCGCCATTTAATGTTGATGTTGGAATGCATCGTGCCCTCCTTCATGTCCTTGGCCTGACCGGAACTCTCTCGATCTGATCTATAATACATCCATTTCTCAGGAGTAATTGTAACTGTCAGTGTCCTGTTGCCCCTCCTCTAGTGCGATCCGCGGATAGCAGCGCAGCATACAAACTGTGCAACACCACCACCACTACCGCCATTGGAAAATACAATCCCCCACCATGTCGTCCTCCTCCCACCTCCCAAAGGCCACGGCTACTCCTCAAGGTGGTATCCTCGAGGGGTCAAATCCGACGGTGTACGACAAGAAGAATCCAATCATCCTGTTCATTATCCAAGTATGTAACCACTAGCACACACAACCTTAGCTTTCTGTGAAAAGCTTCAAGAATCCACCGCAATGGTAACTGTCTCGGAAATTCTTCGGGGAGTCGTCGTTACTAGTGCTATGGTGCTTGCGACAGGCATTCCTGCGTGGCATCATGCATTGGCGGCGACGATCTTAAGCATTATGAACTACATTCGCGGATTTCTTTCCCCCCCATCCAATCCCTTCTACCCTCAAAAAAAAAGCCCGACACAATCATCTACGGCATATTCGGACATCTCTATTGCCCCATCTTCTGAAGCAATGCTAACAAGATGTCGTATAGGCAGGAATCATTATTATCTTCTGCCGACTCCTCCACTATCCTCTCTCCAAAGTCCGCCAGCCTCGAGTTATTGCCGAAGTTATCGGAGGGATTTTACTGGGACCTTCAGTCATGATGCGAATCTCTGGCTTCAAAGAGACTATTTTCCCTGACGATTCTATGCCGGTTTTAAATAATGTCGCAAACCTCGGCTTGATCCTGTTCCTCTTCTTGGTGGGGCTAGAAGTCAATATGAAGATGTTCTTATCGAATTGGCGCGTAGCTCTGAGCGTAGGGTTTGCAGGAATGGTTTTGCCTTTCGGATTGGGATGTGCGATTGCTTGGGGCCTATACAACGAGTTCCATCATGAACCCGGGCTTGTACCGATATCGTTTGGGATCTACATGTTGTTTATTGGGACCGCTCTTTCCATCACAGCCTTCCCAGTGCTGTGCCGAATTCTCACAGAGCTCAATCTTCTTGGCACACCTGTCGGAGTTACGGTCCTGGCTGCGGGTGTAGGAAATGATGTTATAGGATGGATTCTTCTGGCACTCTGTGTTGCATTGGTCAATAACGGATCTGGTATTACGGCGCTTTATGTCCTCCTTACTGCTATTGCTTGGATTCTGTTCTTGGTTTACGCGGTCCGTCCGCCGTTTTGGTGGATTCTCAAACGGTCTGGAAGTTTTCAAAATGGACCTTCACAAGGAATGGTAACTCTGACCTTGCTAATTGCTCTTACGTCTTCTTGGTTCACTGGAATCATTGGTATTCACCCTATCTTTGGAGGTTAGTGAGTTCTCGAGAAGTAGTAAACCCATCTAACACTGATCGTAGCTTTTCTTGCTGGGCTCATCTGTCCTCATGAAGGAGGTTTTGCTATCAAACTTACAGAAAAGATTGAAGATCTGGTTTCCGTCTTGTTTCTTCCTCTATACTTTGCCCTTTCTGGATTGAGCACAAATCTTGGTTTACTGGACGACGGCATCACTTGGGCTTATGTTATTGGTGTTATTGCAATTGCATTTTCAGCAAAAATCATCGGAGGTACATTAGCTGCCAGGGCGAATAAGCTTGTCTGGCGAGAGAGTTTCGCAATTGGCGTTTTGATGAGTTGTAAGGGTTTGGTAGAACTCATTGTTTTGGTAAGTCCTTCTTTTAAGTTTGCATATTTTAAGCTAACAAACCAGAACATCGGCCTACAAGCCAAAATTCTATCGACAAGAACCTTTACTATTTTCGTGGTCATGGCGTTGGTAACTACAGTCTCTACGACACCGCTCACGCTCTCTCTTTATCCTCTTTGGTATCAGAAAAAATTGGAGTCTTGGAAGAGAGGCGAGATTGACTGGGATGGTAATCCCCTGTTCACTGAACATGATGGCGGAGACTCTCAAGACCGTCCCATTGAGAAGCTTAACAGCACTCAGGTTCGTCGACTGCTGGTCTACCTTCGATTAGACAGTCTTCCGAGTCTGTTCACATTCATATCGCTCCTCGGTGGTGATAAGACATCAATTGCCACCAAAGTACATAGAGCCAAGTCCGAGCTTGAATCGGTCCCCGAAGGCGAAAGTTCTCAAACAGATTCCACTTTTGATGTTGCGCCAAAAACTCCTCTCGAAGTTCATGGCGTACGTATTCTAGAACTGACAGAGCGTACCTCGTCCGTTATGAAAGTTTCGGAACAAGATGAGTACACTTACCGCGATCCAGTTGTCAACGCATTCCGGACTTTCGCCCAGCTCAACAATGTCGCTGTCTCAGGGGATGTTTCCATTGTACCAGAAGATTCCTATGCGGAGACTTTAGCATCTCAGGCTGCAGATCATCTGTCCGATCTTGTTCTTATTCCATGGAGCGAACCAAGCCCTGCTGATGAACTCAACCATCACGAATCGCTATCTAGTGGATTGCAAGATGTTTTTATCCAAAAGGTTCTGGAGACTGCTACTTGCAATACGGCTGTATTTTACAATCGCGGCTTCGGTGGCCCTGTTGCCCACGAACGAACAGCCCTAGCTCGCACCGCCAGTGGCCTCAGTCTTAGAAGTCATCGCGAAGCGCCCACTCCACCAGTAGCCGACCGAAGCCACCATGTCTACTTCCCCTTCTTTGGTGGAGCCGATGATCGCGTAGCCCTTCGATTTGTACTGCAACTCGCGCAGAATAGCAATATCACAGCAACAATCATTCACTTCAACATGCCGATTCAGTCTGATGCCAGATCCCCTGTGGTTTCTGGTTCCCCTATCAATGCTAGCGCCTCTCGAGCAAGCTCTTCAAAGCTCGATATCACGGAGCGAGTAGATACCGAGTTCATGTACGCGACAGCTGCTCAAGACGCTACGCTCGTACATACACTACGAGACTCCTTACCCACAGCTCTCGCCAACCGCGTCATCTTTGTCGACGTGGCAACTACAATACCCATCGTAGACTGCCTTAGCCACGCACGACAAGAAATCGCACAATCGCCAAAGAACGCAGGGGATTTGATAGTTGTAGGCAGAGGACGACATAATCGCCTGGTTGATGATTATTCGAGCAGTACTCCTAATCATGATATGAGGAAAACTTTGGGTGTAATTGGCGAATCTATCATTTCCGGTGGCATTAGAGGTAGTGTTTTGGTTATACAGGCCGGTGGGAGAGGTCTAGGACTGTAGGATATCACTGGGTACTAATTTGGAGTTCGATCAATGTTTCCCAGAGGAGTATTGGGTTTTGGGATGTTTATGATACTCATGATGATAAATATACGTCTGACATAGGAATGAGGTTTTTCCACGGACACGAATTCATGGGAGAGCGATATATGGCTCGTCTAATTCAACTGCGATTGATCATTCTTGATTTCTTTATATTGTCCGGAACTTGGAGTTGCAATTCGTATGACTGACACTTCCTTCCTTCATAACTACTTTCATTTATCAACATACCTACCCTCTCATTCCCTAGAAACCTTCAGCCACTCTAGTGAGATGGATGAACAGGAAGGACATCGCCGGTATCCGGACCCCTTATCTTTTATCGCGGAAGCGGGGGCGGGGGTGGGTAGGGCCGTAGGTGGGGTAGATTGATCGACCAACACGACCCCGCCAAAAGTAAGGTATTACTGTATACGCCGTACAGCTCCGTAAAGTACATTCATTATGCATGCGTGTGCTGACCTACCTCCGTCCTCCATACATCTACAGTCTTATGTATAGTGAGTAAGGTCGTACTAGAATACAATACACGCCCCTCGAATCTAATCTAATCCGCACAAAACTATAGTACTCACTCGTAAAGCCTTTCTTTCTTCCTTTCTTCCTTCCTTCCTTCTTTCTCTTCTCTTTCTCTTCGCGGCAATAACCCGTTCATTCAACCATCCAAAATGCCTTCCCAAACAGAAACAGAAACAGCAGAAGCAAAAGCTAGGCCGGCCTTCTATATCCCGACGATAGATATCAGTCCCTACCTACGCGATCCGAGCTCGTGCGCGGCTGGGCAGGTCGTGGAGATGGTGCGGGCTGCGTGTATCGGGACGGGGTTTTTCCAGAGTAAGTCTTCCTACATGAACGCATTCGTTTCAATTTTTAGTATATACCTCACCTCACCTCAGCCCATACTAACCAGTTTCCCCCCCACCCAGTCACAGGTCACGGCATCGCTGCCTCGCTCCAAGAAGCGGTGTTCGCGGGCTCGGAAGCGTTTTTTGCGCTGGGGGTAGAGGAGAAGATGAAGCTGGATAGGAGTGTGAGTGTGGGGGCTAGTAATAGGGGGTATGAGGTTATTGGGGGGCAGGGCCTGCAGGAGGATACGCTGCCTGATTTGAAAGAGGTATGTTATGTGAATTGCACTATCCCATTGATCATATTCCATTCCATGCCATGCCGTCTTATACCATTCTATTACTTTATATATATACCATACGATACGCACTGACTAGCTCACTTCCCTTGCCCAAATCCGAATCCTGATGTTTCTTCTATTCATTTATTCATTCATTCATACTCCATGACACTACATGAACCGTACCGTACCGTATAACAGACAGAAAGCTAATCCCAACTTCCCTCTCCCCTCACAGGGCTTCTACATCGGCCACGAAATCCCCGCCACGGACCCCCGCGTCCTCGCGCACGCCTTCCTCGTCGGCCCCAACCTATGGCCCCCCTTACCGCGCGCCGTGTTCCGCGATCCCATGACGGCGTACTTCGGCGCCATGTACGAGCTCTCGCTGCGCATCATGGAGCTCGTGGCTGCGACGCTGCCGTACGGGAGAGAAGTGTTTAAGGGGTTTGTGGGGCCTGAGGCTGTTGCTAGTGTGCGGCTGCTGCATTACCCGCCGGGGAAGGGGGAGGAGGGAGAGGCAAAGGGGCAGTTGGGAGCTGGTGCGCATACGGATTTCGGGGCTGTGACGTTGCTGTTGCAGGATGGGGTGGGGGGGCTGCAGGTTTGGGATGATGGCCATGGCCATGGTGGAAAGGGCGCGTGGGTTGATGTACGGCCGGAGCGCGATGCATATGTGGTGAACGTGGGGGATATGCTGCAGATGTTAACAGAGGGACGGTATAAATCTGGACTGCACCGTGTGGTTAATAGGAGTGGGCGGGATCGGTATTCGGTGCCGTTTTTCTTTGATGGGAATGTGGATTATATGTTGAGGCCGTTGGGTGCGGGTGGGGAGGAGGATAGGGGGGGAGGGAGAGGGAGAAGGGGGGAAGAATTCCAAGTGGTTGACGGTGGAAGAGCATATGAGGGAGCGGTTTGGGAGTACGTATGGAAGGGGGGCGGAGAGGGAAGATGGGGTCGGGAATTTCAAGGCTTGATTGCTTGGTTTGGGGCGTTGGTGATTAGATGCGAGGATTTGGGTTTCGGAAATGGGCACGAACAGGATATAGAAGGAGATGCATCTAATCACTACTCTAATAGAAAAACAATTTCGATATTCTAAATACGGGTTTTGATTAGCGGTCCTCGTCTTCAGGTGAGAGATGTCTCAAGACGTAGCTGCAAGCAATTAAGTTCTTGAAACTCAGGAGACGTGATACGTGGTTATTTAGATAGAAGGCAAGAGCAACTAGTACACTCCTCAAATCATACGGATACTTGAAAGTACATGGCAAGTTGCAAATTGCAAATCGCAAAAGAAAAAGAAAAGGACATCCTATGCAAAAGCAACAAAAAAAGAAGGACAGTCTGGGGATACCCTCGAACATGTATGTATGTCGAAAATAAGATTCTCGTAGAAACCCAGACCAGTACACCATTACACCTGGATGTATGTTGCAATCCTTTTATCAAACTTCATATACCTCTACCCATAACTAGTCCGGGCTAGCGATATATCTATGTGAATACAACCAAGTCATATCAACATTGAATCTCACGTTACCTTTTTTTCTTTCAAGAAAAAAGCGACATGCAACAAAACGTCTGTGATTACTCCTTTGGGATATATAATTTGTTGGAACTTGCGATTCACTTGGCTGGATGAGAAGCGTGGAATCGGCCATGGAAGGCAGCTCTGTTGTATTCGGGGAGGGAGGGGATCTTGTATGAACAGGACAGGCAAACAGCTAAAGGGGAAACCCCTGATAGGGTGTAACACGTGACCACCACGTGTTCATCTCAAACCCCAAACGGTAGCCAAATCCTACCCCCTATTATGAGCCCTTCCTCTGCTGGGCTCCTGTGAACAAGAAACAATTCACGCAAACACAAGGCAAGTTTCATGCGTGAGGCCTGTAAGCCACTTGCCGCAGCACTGCACACTGCACACTGCACACTGCATTGCATCTGCACCTCAGCCTCGCCTCAAAGGAATACAGCCAACCAGCGGCGCGCAAGTGACGAGAGTACTTCTTCAGTATGCATAAGGTATGCAAGTCTGTGAGTCATTCCAGAAACTGTGTGGAGGGTTTGCGGGGTGTGTATTATTAAGATTATTGATGGCATTGATTGATATTGAACTGCAAAGGGCGCGGCATGTCATGTCAAGTTTACCGGGGGGGAAGAGAGGGAGGAGAGATGGGGTTGGAACGCCACGCCATGCGCTTTCCTTCGCCGAGTGAAGAGAGGGTCCGGCGTACGGAATTGGATCTCGGTGTAGAAGCGTGGCACGTACTAAAATATACGGAGTACAATTGAGGCTTACCGTACTGTAACCCCTCCCCTCCCTCGTATTGCATTGCAGATTACGGAGTAGACTTGGGATGCTGTTTTAACATCGGATTGAGGCCCCGATGCTCTGAGAAGAACAGGAGGACTCTCAGGAATAGAACAATAGGTTGCATTATTCCAATAACGGATGTAGGAGTGGCCCTAAGATCGCAAACTCCTGCCATTTGTTGTATATCCGAAGTGTCCAAAGTCCTGGGCTTATCTCCATCCGGATACCGGTATTCTTCGCATCTCATCTGCATGTGCATCTCGCAGACGGCGAATTTTCGTTCAAATGAATGGCGCTCGAGTCTGGCGGCCGTGCGAACGCTAAACAGGCTAAGAGGATGAGGACGAGGATCCGGAGATTCCTACGAGGAGCTGATTGGGGTCGGGCGGTACTGTAGGTTGGTCGGGCTCTCTGCAAGGCTTACCAGGGTCGTAGTTGTAACTCGGTAGAGAACTAAACATGTCAAGTCGATGGATTGTAGGACTTTCAAAGAGGAAGAAAAAGTAACAGATCAGTATATGTCCGATACGAAGTATTCGTGTGAAGAAAAAAAGAATCAAACTCAGAGGAGAAGCGGGGGAGGGAGGGGGAGGAATGAATGAAGTGGTGGTTGTCGCTTATCTAAGGCAACTCCGAGAAGCCTCGCGGTCAATTGGAAAAGCGGCACCAATTTCCCATATGTGCCAGGGGGAAACCCCAACAATAATAATGGCCGCTTTAGAAGGCTGGAGGAGGACCCTCTCCCAGTCTAGTAGCGAATGACACCCGCGGATTCTATGAGTCACAACGAGAAATTGTTAGCCCTAATAACACGCCGTGCTTATTTGTGCAAGCGAACTTTGCACCGTACTACTCCCACCCTTATATTTCGCCTTTCCCTCTCAGGCAACATCTTTTTTTTTCCTCTCCTCTTCTCCATCAAACTTCTTACAAACACGACAACAACAAACACATCACCAACAGCAAAGCCCAACATGTTCTAAATTCCCAGTCATTGCGACTCTTCTTGACACCTCCGTCAAAATTCCATCCCAACTCAACACCATAACAACCCACTCCCCTCAAAATTTCACCCCTTCAACTTTTCCCTTCCCGGAAAACTTGACTTCCAGCCCAGCTCCCCGCTCAAGCTCCAGTCCTCAAACCGCCAACATTACCTCACAAGAGTTACCTCTCTTCAGTACGGATCCCCAATCAACATGGCTTCCCTCCAGTTCATCGAGCCTGCCGGCACATTCTCCTCGTCAATCCCCGCGCAACAATCCTCAGGATCTCTCCGGTCCCTCTCAGCCCCATCAGCAACATCAGGACTTTGTTCTGTTCGAGAGGTCTGCCAACGCTCGCAGTACCCCTAGTCTGTCCCAGCACAGCGCCTTTACAGGCCAAAATCGTCGTCACTCTGCTCATCTGACCCCATCTTCTTCTGCCTCGTCTTTGCAGAACCAGAGAGTCGCTGCGATCATAAACGCTACTGGACATTCTATTCATACCTCGGGTCTTACCAACCGGTTTAATCAAAATCAATCCTCTGCGCAGAGCCCTCATCAGTTCTACGCTTCATCTGCGCCCTCATCTTCCACCTCATTGCAACAACAGCGTCCGACTCGACCTCCGGTCCCGCTGTTTTCGCAATCCACAGGCAACATCCCGCAAACTCCAAACATGGCTATGCAAGGTACATTCACTGCTCCAACTTTTGCTGCGAACTCCCATGACTCACGCCGTACAGACATGGACCTTTTTGACGAATTCACTGCATTCGAGGGTGGAGCCTCGTCTGCCGGCACGTACAACAACCCCTCGGCCTTCCCCTCGCCAGCCGTTCCAACAATGTACGACAACCAGAATTTATCTTCATCAAGCTCCACCAACATGGGTACTGTTTCTCCTCAAGATTTGCTTGTTCGCGATCCCTTCGCATCTGCACCAAATTCCACTTCATTCACAAACTTGACCTCTCCTTCAACGTACGGCGAGTCTCCCGAATACAACGGCGATTTTGACGTATCTCCATATGTCCACGGCGACGATTTCGGTAATGCACAGATTGCTGGTGACCCATGGTATCCTCTGTTCCCTCAGGATGACCAGGTCAGCGAGCAAACAAAAGTCGAAGAGTCACCTCTTCTCCCCGAGGAGGAGCTTGAGGTTTCTGAGCATCTCCGCGCATCTGGCCGTCGTCGCTCCGGTACAGCTGGGTCTCCACCTGGCTCTCACTCATCTGTCTCTGGCGTCAACTCTCGAAAGCGCGACAAGCCTCTTCCACCTATCATCGTTGAAGATCCTAACGACACAATCGCCATGAAGCGAGCACGCAATACTCTTGCAGCTCGTAAATCTCGACAACGGAAGATGCAGAAGATGGAAGAGCTTGAGGACGAGCTCGAGAAGGTTAGGAATGAACGTGATCACTGGAAGAGCATTGCTTTGAAGCGTGGGGGTGGATCATCTCACTGAATGTTCTTATCACCGGCACTCATGGATTGGGGGGAAGAGCTGTAGGCTCTGTCCTCTTGGAGGCAATAGTAGCAGCTGATGCAGGGGCTCAGCAGGGACGCTATTGACCGTGGATTCATTCTTGTATTTCTGTTTTCTTTCCTATTTGCCGGGTTTCAGGGTTTCGGCAAAAGGATTCTTTGGGATCTTGATGCTTCTGGAGCACGTTCACGTTGCCTCATCTTTCTTTGGACCAGACGTTGGACTTTTAGAGTCTTTTTGTTCTTGCTTTGGTGTCTCCCAGCCGCGATGGATGGATGGTGACCCAGGCCTTTTATTAATCATCTGCTTTCATGTTGGTCAACTAGAAGCATTATTCTTTACAATGAAATACACGTTGATCAACCCTTAACCTACTTGTCTACCATGATCCTCAACAACCTGTGAATTGATCAAAGTTAACCATGTATGCCTCCCGGATTATTCTCGTAGCACATGTCCACATTGTGAAGCTTGCTATCTGCTATCTGATTAAACACCCGGTTACCCGTCTTACCACCCTCCATACTCCGTAACTTCTAAGATCTACGATTTCTAATCTGCACAACATCCACTGAACCGTGCTCCCGTCTAGGTTGCTCCGCCGCACCTCCACGTGAATCAGATCGATCAGATGCCAAAGAAGATCTCCGTCACGTCATTGAGGCTCCCCACAATCACACCTCCTCTTCACTTCTGCAGATTCACACACACACACACACACACATCCTCACTATACAACCCCTGAATTCACATCGCAACGTTCTATTGTTTCACAGAGTTTCCATTCTCGCTCAACCTTTCTATCTATTCTCACAGCACCTTACACAAATCCTCGTTCTGACTTACTCTCTCTCTCTCTTATCCTCTACGGCTACCCTGCTCTCCGTCCTCTGATCTCAAGCTCACCTGCTCCGCCTATCACACACCAATCCATCTATCCAACCACCTCCCTCCTTCCATTCATTCCCCCTTCTCTCACCCCCATACCATCCATACACATACAATGCCATCCCCTCCATCCCTAACAACCCACCTCCTACACCTCTCCCCCTCCTCCTTTACATGCGCAACACAGACCCCCTTCCTGCGGCACGCAGGCCGTGGAACGCTGCCGAAAGATGTGTTGGCGAGGTGGCTGGCGCAGGATAGGTTGTACGCGCAGGCGTATGTGAGGTTTGCGGCGGGGTGGATTGGGAGGGTTGAGATGCCTGTGGTTGTTGATGGGGGGAGGGGGTTGGAGGAACGGTATGTGTGTGCTTTCATAAACTGCTTCTTTCTCCTTGTCCAAGTTTGGTTGTGATTTCTTGGGTTAATTTTCGGGTTTATTTTCGGGGTTTGAATAATTATTGATCAGTTGGATTGGATTGAGCTTTTAAGTGTATAGTGCTGATTTTGATATGCACAATAGACTAGTGGACCTCCTACTCGATGCGCTGAATAACGTACGGAGGGAGTTGAAGTTCTTCGAGGATGTGGCGGCGCGTTATGGATTGGATTTGAATAGCTGTGTAACTGAGGGGGAAAGTGAGGGCGTGAGGGGGTATAAGAGGCTTTTTGAGGATGTGGGGGGGGGAGGACAAGTCTTTGCTAGATGGTTTGGTACTGCTTTGGGGGACTGAGAAGGTGAGTTGCTGCTGGAGCCTGGTGGTGTTTATTTGTTTGCGTTTTTGCTTCTGCTTTTATTCTGCATATCCACTCCCTTCTCCCAATATACTTACTGTACTCTACCTCTGGATCCAGATCTAGGGGGAGAGTTGATGTTTGCTTATTAACATCAACCTGCTTGTTCACCTGCTCGCTTATTTGATTGTTTATTTACTGACTTACCATAATAGTGTTATCTCGAAGCCTGGCGCTACGCAGCCACCTTCCTCCCCCCCCGCGACCGAAGCGGGAGGAGAGGCAGACGGAGGCGCGTTGAGGAAGGAGTTTATTCCTAATTGGACGGGTGATGAGTTTGTGGTGTTTGTGGAGAAGATCGAGGCGCTTGTGGAGGAGGTGTGGAAAGGTAGTAGGGAGGGGGAGGTGGATGTGGGGGTGTTGGAGGGGGTTTGGAGAGATGTTTTAAGGGTTGAGGAGGGGTTTTGGCCTATAGTTAATTAGGAGGGGGTGGGTTGGGAAAGGGAAGGGGAAAGGAAAAGAGGTTTTGGATGGTTGTGAGGGGGAAAGGGGGGGAAAGGAAGAGATGTTTTGAAATAAAACAAACACAGTTACGCAATCCGTCAACATATACAATCACTTCTCGGACTTCACACAAGAGAATTTCGGCCTTTCACTACGATTTGGTGGACCTAAAATATATTATCCTGTACTATGAACCACCTACCTGGCTCTCATATAACATCCAGTGTATCATCAAGGGTTGTTTAGCAATGCAATGGAGTAAGCCTGCCCGCTCACGACTGACAATATTCAGATCTTTAAGAATATCCGGATTATGACTAAAGCGTGCGTGTGTTAGAGGAGGCCAAAACTAATAATATAGAGCTAGTACGAGTATATATCGTAAAGAATACGGAAGTCGGGCTTTCATTATGATATATAGTTATATCAAAACCATTCCAACCCCATTTCTTGCGCACTCGTTCTCGATCTATGTCTGCGAACTAAAATATAACCGTCTTGATATCCTGATTCTTTAGCATTCGACATTCTCTTTCCAGGTAGGTATACAAAGAACTCGGCATCTTGCGAGATGCCGCCTCCGACTTTATATTTCCCTCTTTCTATTCGAAATCTCCTAGCTCCTATAAACCTGTTCTCAAAGCTGCTTTAGCATCAAAGGCGAACTCGAGGTTTTAAGAATCGTCGAAGTTGTTAAATATAGCCGGCACTATAAACTCGATTCCTCTAGTATATGCCATCTAAGACCACAATAGCATTTGGCCAAACTTGTGCGAGATCCGCGTCATAGGCACGCACGTCGGACCGCCGCCAAAGAGGATTTCTATGGATATAGGGATCAAAGATGCCGTAGCGTTCTTGCCAATGTAGAACCCTTGTGATATGAACCGCTAACCCAGATAATGCAACAGCTTTGTTAGTAGGGTCTGAGGGTTCACGGCTTACTTCTAGTATGAAAACCTTAAAGTGTGTGGTTTTAGCAAATAGCTGTTTAACAAATTTATAAATCCAAAAAAGGAGAATAGTTATTGAGATGGACGAAAATATCTTTACTGTTAAGTTAGGAAATGGCTACGCAGTCATAAAGTCTAGATGGTCATTTGATATGTCACGTCGCCTAAACTCGGCACCAAGCGAACCTCTATATATAACCTCATCTAAGTGTCCTCTGCACTTAGACTCCTTAATGCAACCATCTGATGCCACCACGCCATTGGAACTTGCTATTATGAATTTAAAAGGCTTCTAGTTGCTCCTCCGTCCAAGTCCAAAGCTTCTCAGCCAGCTCATCGCTCTTAGCATCATTGTTGAGCTGCTTGGTCAGAACTCCAACAGGCTCATACATCTCGCCACTCTTAACCTTAGCTGCATCGGCCGTAGCAGCCCAGACCTCATTGTATGCTCCTTGTGCTGCGGTCAGATAGCCACCGGCTATAATAGCGCCAGCTTTGATAAAAGCTCGATGTCCAAGTGGGAGATTGCTGACGAGTCGGTACTCGTGATTCCGGGATGAATAGCGACGGTGGTGATGGCAGGATATCGGCGAGCGAGCTCACGAGTATAGACCTTCAAGATAAAAGTGTTAGCATCGATGTTGTATGAAAGTTTGATGACCCTGGCCAAAAAGCTGCTTACGATGTTGGCAAGCTTGCTCTGAGCATAGCGAGTCCATGAGCCCATGAAGCCCGTATCCTGCGTAGTCTTCAAGTCCTTGAAGATGATTCCGCCTTTTGGGTGAAGTATAAAACCTAGGGAGGTGAGGTTGATGAGGCGAGCTCCGTCAGTCTTTAGTAGACTAGGGAGGAGTTTCTTGATAATTAAGGCGTGGCCGAGGTGGTTGGTCCCAAATTGAATCTCATAGCCATCCTTGGTCAGTGCTGGTGGCAGAGCCATGATCCCAGCGTTGCAGATCAGAATGTCGAGACGCCCTTCTTTGTTGATTTCCAGGAATTCGTCAGTTGCGGCCTTGACGTGCGAGAGGGACGCTAGGTCGCAGCTCAAAAAAGTAAGCTTTGCATCTGGCGCAACCTCTTTGACCTAGGATGGATGTGAGCTACAATCGTTAGTGTGAAGATAGCTTAGGTACCTTCTCTTCAACTGCTGCAGCGGCCTTTGCATTACGTCCAGTGAAGTAGATGTGAGTAGGATTATGCGGCGCAAGTTGCAAGATAGTCTCAGCTCCAATTCCGGCAGTACCTGAGGCAAGGAAGATGTCAGTTGTGTCGTATGCAAGAGCAAGAGCAAGGGCAAGGGAAAGAGCCTCACCTCCAGTAATGAGAATAACCTTTCCAGCGAGGCTTGGGACATCCCTCTCAGGGGAAAAGTCGAACTTCACCATAGTGAAAGAGAAAGGTATTGTTGATGGGGGATAGCAGCTGCCGGTACATACGATACGCTCCTGGGGTATGGAGTATAGAGTATTGGTGGAGGATGATGGAAGCCTCCGGAGTTAGTCTACCATCCGTTGTGGCTGCAGTTGCACGGACTAATAGGATACCTTATGTATGCCAGGCTCGGTTTAGTTGTGTTACCCTCGCTTAGAGTAGCGCCTTTCTATATAAAGTTAGAGCGTGGTCACGAGATGATAGCGCCTTACCTAAATACCTCAAGACTTTGAACCCGTGGCGGTGCGGCCCGTTGTAAGACCTTGCGACGATCTTGCGTACTAAGAGTTCCTACCAGGTATAACTTCCTGTACAATCTTCTACTACGACACCAACTAAAAAACAACTCATCTGCAGCCGGAATCTACCAAATGCGGCAATTATTGACGCCGAGATCTATTACGGAAGTACAGCCCATAATTATTACAGCGCTAAACATGTTCCTTTAATACACCTTCTATCTTTCTATTCCTTGTCTCTCTATCTTTCCTATTCAACATTTACCAGTTCTTTAAAGTCAGATATCATGGTTTCATTCATTTCCCCTTTAGCCGGCCTGCTTTGCGGGATGTTTGGTCTCGTTACCTCATCAACAGTTTCAAATTCATACTTCTCATCCCACGCCAAAATCACCACTCGTGAGGCTCAAGCTTGCGGAAGCCTCGCGGTTTCCTTTCCCAGCGTAACTTTTGCCACCATTTCCTCGCTTTAGAACCCAGTACCCATCAATTGCTCCTGTGAGACTTCATTCATGTCGACTTTTTCATCGAGATTTGTCAAAAAGTCATTCCGGCTCGATCTGGTCTGAAGACGTCTATGTGCTATCAGACTTGGTTCATCTTTGAGTTTTCTTTCTCTTCTGCTGTACCTACCCTTGTATTTTGGTCCTGCTGTACTTCGTGTGCTTGCCACGAGCGGAAACCGTTAACCATGGAGTAAGATACTTCCTAATCACAGCCAAGAGCGCGTATCGACGGAGATTGTCCACAAAAGTAATTGCCCACATAGGATCTAGAATGAGATCCATCCACGGGTGATGTTCCTCTACGATTACAAAAACAGTGTCAGTATTCATATCCTTTTGTCGTTGAAAGACATTCTTGGAAATTGGAAAATAATAAGCTTTTTCAATACAGTGAAAACTCTCACCAAACGCCATGTCGCCCATGGCATCAAAGGCGACCAATTCATACCATTTAACCATATTGATGCCATCGGCAGACTTGCTGCTATAGTCACCGATCTTCGTGATGAAATTATCCATACAGCGCTGACTGATCTCCTTTTGCTGACTTAAAGATTTTGTAGAAAACGCAGCCGACAAATCTCTCTTCTTCTGCGCATGCTCTTGTGGATTGCGTTCACTACCGATACAGCCCGTTTTGAAACCGGACCCATACATATCGTAGAACTTACTCTTGATGAGTTGTTCTTTGCCTGCTGCGGGCGTTCCGTAAATTGCCTTCCAGGATGATGCAGATGCAAACGACAGTTCATTTGGGGAGACACGGAAAACTGGACCTGAATTTTGATATGAGAAAAATGTGACTATAACACAGCTTCCCCGCAAAGATTTACTTACCGTAAATATTATGCTGTTCCTCGATGACTCAGTGAGATCGGCCATTCATAGTGTGCCAAACACGCCATAGCTAGTACCATTTGAGATTTGTGTATAATTGGCAGAGTCAAGATTCTTACCAGAGATGCTCTTGCCAATAATGGTCCAGGAAAGCTGGCTAAAGGGTGCAGGAAAATATTGTATACCATATGGTTAATGATGTACAGGACATACTGACACCGTTAGCTGAATCCCTGTTCAAAGCAATGAACCCATTTAAGTCGACCCTAGACGACTCACAATAATACCAATGGACATGCAGATATGGCCAACAGTAAAAGGACGCGTCTGCCAGGCAATCTCCAGAAGGCTCTGGGTACCTGAAACGCCTGAAGTATGCTCCATCGAGGCTGTCGTGCAAAGAAAACGCAGAAGGGCTTGGTAGTATGCGATCGAGGATGTAAGATTGGGATTTGGCTGGGATTCAAGTGTTGGAGCTTAGGACTTTGTAGTAGACCTTGGAAGAGCGCCCTACCAAGCACTCCTAAGTAGCACTGTAAAATAGAATCAAAGCTATTTCAGCAGACTTCCGAGGTGCATGACTTTGCCGCATGCTGTTCCTCATTGGGACAAAGTTCTCCAACGATGCGGGTTCTCCGGTCTCGATATTCGCGAGGATGATGCCAATTACACCATGAGTGTTATCATGTCCACTGCGAAAAGAGATGACTCTCCCCAATTTCCTGAACAAATTGCTCTCGTCTATGCCGATGCGCTGCCGCCGCAACTATGGCTGGAACAACTGAAAGTCCTGCTCGCGAAACTGACCTCAACTAATGTGGCCGTTGAGAGGCTTGATCGGCTTAACCCCTCAGGAAAAGTATGCATCTTTCTGTCCGAAATGGAGCATGCTTTTCTAAGCAAGATGGACGAGACCAGATTCGAGAAAATCAAGGCACTTCTGACCAGAAGCCAAGGTGTCTTCTGGATCACCCGTGGAGCTGCATTAGAATGTAAAAACCCCTTAGTCGCTCTACAGACTGGCCTCCTACGAACATTAAGGCTCGAAGACACTAGCAGGCAATACATAACGCTTTGACATTGACTCGGAAAGTGAACCCTGGACAGCATCGACAACTAGCGCCATTTTGGATTTGTTCAGACTTACCTTCGATCTCTCGATCGGCAACTCTGTTGTCGACTGTGAATATGCGCTGCGAGACTCAGGGATCCTGATTCCACGTATGTACAGTGATGTTGCTGAAACTCATTCCATTCCTGCAGCGGAACTCATGGATACAAGAATTGAGCTGTTCTATCAGTCTAATACAGAGCTTCGCTTGGATGTCGCTGTCCCTGGACTCTTAGACAGTCTTGCCTTTATTCACGCTGGCCCAATTCATGAAACCCTGCCAGACGATTTCGTTGAGATACGGCCGGAGGCGTTTGGTCTCAACTTCAGATATCTCATGGTGTCTATGGGACAGCTGAAGGGGAAGGTTATGGGCTTCGAATACAGCGGTAGAATCACTAGACTTGGGCCCAACCCCAGTCATGGCCTCAAGATCAATGATCGCATTTGTGCTTTAACACACAATGGCCACTATTCCAACACTGTTCGCGTTCATTCGGATGGCGTGGCCAGGATTCCTGACGACATGACTTTTGACGTTGCGGCAACAATTCCTATGATATTCATCATAGCTTATCATGCACTCGTAGACACAGCTCGGCTAGAGAGTGGCGAGACTGTGTTGATCCATGCTGCTGCTGGAGGTGTAGGACAAGCGGCCATCATGATTGCGAAATGCATTGGCGCGAAGATCTTTGTCACCGTTGAATCGAACGAGAAGCGTGATTTCCTCACCAAGGCATACGGAATCCCTCCCAACAACATGTTCTCAAGCAGAGACAACTCTTTTGCCGCGGCCATCATGGCAGCTACAGATTTCAAAGGGGTTGATGTGTTGCTCAATTCTCTTTCTGGGGAACTGCTTCAGGAGGGCTGGAACACCATGGCCTATCATGGACGTTTGGTCGAGATTGGGAAACGCGATATTCAGCTCAACAAGAACCTCGAAATGCTGCCGTCCCACCGAGCAATTTCTTTCTCTGCCATTGATTTGATCCACCTCGGGAACTACAAAAACCGGGTGGTTTCGAGGGTACTCGCAAGTGTACTTGAATTGTTTAGCAACCAGGACGTTCAACCAGTTCAACCTATTTCGGTACTCCCAATCTCCGAGATTCAGCGAGGTTTCCGAATCTTGCAGGCAGGCAAGCAGTTCGGGAAGATTGTGATCAAGCCCCAACCAGGCGATCTTATCCAGGTTGGTTCTTGTGACCAAGAATTAGAAGAATAATATGCTAACAACTTCAGGTCCTACCCACACGAAAAGTCTGAAGACTCTCTCCAAATGCATCATACTTGATTGTTGGCGGCATGGGAGGACTCGGAAGATCTATTGCTCAATGGCTTGTCCGCCACGGAGCAAAAACGCTCATCATGGTCTCGCGCAGTGCAGCATTGCAGAACGACGCGGAGCTCTATCTCAACAGACTAAAGGCACAAGGCTGCAGGGTTATCCTCAAAAATTGCAATATTGCTAACGAGGGTGAAATTTCTGGGGTGCTTAGCGAGTGCGCTTCGAAATTTCCAAATATAAAGGGTGTGATTCAAGCGGCCATGGTATTGCAGGTTCGTATTTCTTCGTTGACGCGGCGTATATTCACTTCTGACCTTGATAGGACTCTGTATTCGAGCACATGAACTTTCAACAATGGCAAAAGGCCGTTCACCCCAAAGTAGCAGGCACCTACAACCTTCACAGACAGCTTGGTGTTGAGTTGGACATTTTTGTTATGCTTTCTTCTTCAACTGGTGTAGTCGGCAACACAAGCCAAGCAAACTATGCAGCTGGGAGGACTTTCGAAGACGCATTTGCCAGGTATCGCGCCTCGCAGGGCTTGCCTGCAGTTTCTCTTGACCTGGGCATGGTGAAATCTGTAGGCTATGTGTCCGAGACCAAAGGAGTAGCCGAACGTTTGGCAAAGCTAGGATGGAGACCGCTGGGAGAGCAGGAGGTGTTTCACATTCTCGAAACAGCAATGCTTCATCCACGACGAGACCCAAGGTCTAGCCAAATCATAACCGGTCTTGAGGCTCTGGAGAACGACGACGACATCGTATGTCGTCGTGAACCACGATTCTGGACTCCGAAGCATCAACACAATCAAAGACACAACTCAACCACCGGCAACCGCTCAAACGATTCTATCACGCTCCAAGATGGCCTCTCTAACGCAGAATCGTCGGAGACAGCTGTTGCGCTGGTCACAGGCGCAGTCATTGGCAAACTATCAGCTATGTTCATGCTCCCAGATGACGAGATCAAAGACTCGGCACCATTGTCCCACTACGGCGTGGACTCTCTAGTTGCCGTCGAGCTCAGGAACTGGCTGAACACACATGCCGACTGCGATATCTCCATATTCGATGTGCTTCAGAGTATATCGTTGAAAGCGCTTGCGGGCAAGGTCGTGGAGAGGAGCAAGCACGTGGTGAATGGCAAATCCTGGGGTTCCCTAAATTTCGTGGGGTACGGGATCATCTGTCGCTGCTTTCGGTACAAAAGAATATTTTAGCATAGCTAGAGGTGGAAATAGGATTCAGACCAGATTGGCTAATAAGTCAGTCAGTCAATGATCAGCACAACTTTGAGGGGGAAGCTATACTGTACTGAAAGATGGAATGGTAGGGATAACTCAGCATAGTTTGATCACCATCTACAGTTATACATGATGATGAAGTGAGCGATTCCTTAACCACCATATGAAACCAATAACCAAGACGCGGTCAAAGGTAGCAGTGCACATGAAACGCTACTACAGAGCCCCGACCCACTCCATAATATAAGTAGAATTGCTCGAGTAAACAGAGGAAAAGCATTCTACTGATAACTAATAGCGCTGATTTTGTACCGAAATCATATATCTCGGGTTCTTAAAATAAGTGTATAATAATTAAAAATAGTAGGTTTCTAACCTAGGACGGAGAAGCTGGGGGTGTGACCACTTGGTAGCTATTAAGAAAAGCAGTAATAAAAGCAGTAATAAAAGCAAGCACTTGCTTTTCTGGCCGGTTCACAGAATGAAATCGGCAGGATAGAATTCCATTGCAGGTTTTGAGCCGAGAAAACAAGTCGAACCTGGGATCCCAGAGGACAAGGAGAGATACAGTTCGGTTTTTTTTTTTATCTAAGTCGATACTAGCTATCGCTTCCTACAGTCGTGTATGTATAAGGCTGGAAGGGGAAAAAAAGAAAGCCCATCATCATACTCCAAGAAGATTATGCTAGTGACAAGAACAACGCTTACTGGACATGGAGCCTCAGTGGCCTGTTCGGATATATCTGACAACAAGATAGAAGGATGATTCAAGGAAAGGCGTCCGGACCAAGTAGTGTATGTCCATTTATTAACGCAACCCAATTACGCTCATCTCCAAGGTCCAAACTCTTCGGATCCACACCTTCAGCTTCCCTTGCACGCCTTCTACGTTCTCAAGCTCCACGCCCTCCCACCAACATCTTCGAGCTGGCTTTCTCCAAAACAAGAGCAGCTTTTGTGCCATTCCTACTGCGTTGCTGCCCATCTCGGCGCCGCGGATGTCGGTTCGTAGACGAGCTAGTGCAAGACTGCAAATGACTGCTTTGTTGGGCTCGTTTGCTCTGTGCCCCCAATGATCTTCGTGGTTGAACCCGCTGTAAACCGTCAGCAAACCGCACACCTTCTTTAAGCAATTCAGACATACCCAGCGGTCAACATCTCAATTAAGTGCTGTTCTGTTGTCCCAGTCTCCTCACTCCGCCTCAATCCAGAGAATATTCCATCTTGCTTCAACAGTGCCTTTCCTGCTGCACGCTTCACCTCGATCATTTCCGATTGCTCGATTTCCGCAACAGGTGGAATAACGTAGAAGTCCAAATCCTCTCTCAGAACAATTATACCTGCTCGGTCTTGTAGCATTTCTCTCGCAGAGCCGGCCATTGGCTCAATAGGTATAGGATCTGCTTCGGGGCTTGCAGAGGGCGAATTCGAGCCAGAAGGAATTGTCTGCGCGACATTGCGGAAGAATTCGAGCATGTACTGTAGGGATGCTGGATCATACTGTGTGGTTATGTTAGTTATATGTATATCTAAATTGCGTATTACATCGCGAGTAAATGAGACTTGACGGACATCAACTTGGAAGGCATCGCCCTCATGGTATTGGTTCAAGTGCCCATCTGGTAAGAGGCCGTTGGGGAATAGCGATAAGAGGACGAATTCTGGTAGGGTTAGGAGTTCGTCTCGTGAGAGCGTGAACCTCTGGCCACTATAGGATGATTAGTAAGTCGTTTACCAGGTTCCAAGTTTGGGTCTGTACCGGAGGTCCATTGTGATGTTCTCATCTGCACCAACATCTTCACATCACGTCAGTACTGGGCTATCTCCAATTTAGGGCATCATATACCTCCTAAAGTATTTATAGGTGGCGCGCCACCTTGCTGCACCTGAGTAATAATACTCGCAGCTCCTCCTGCAGCCGCCATCAGGTATGTGAAAGAATCGAGCGGGCTGGAACCCTCCGAATACGCTGGTGGAGGCTCGTTATCGTCGTCTTTCTTCGAGGACTCCCCTTTTGTATCCTGTGGTAAAGCAGCCTTTGTCTCAGCAACAACGTCTTGAGAAGACGAAGAGAGTGGTGTATTAGGCGCGACAGGCGCGTATGCTGGGACAGATGCAGATGCGCCGGCTTCAGTGACTGCTGTCTTGTATGCTTCAACGGCCTCGACAGTTGAGGTATAGAGTGAGGAGAAAGGAGGGGGGTTTGGAGAGGCAGGCGCAGAAGTCGATGGATCGGAATTGGGGTATCTAGGGGGCGGTGACTGTGCTCGAGATATTATTTCGTCCTCAAGTTTTGATGCGTGCTCGTGCTCCTCGCTATCCAGCCGAACGGACGACGGGCCGTCGTTGGCTGCTTCTTCTGTACCGGACAACGTGATGGCTGAGTGCTCGGAGTCGCTGTTTAGTTCTTCGGGGTTATGTCCAAGTCATAAGGGCGCGAAAGGTTGCGATTGCAGAGCGGATTGCATGAGTATATTGGTTGTTGTTGATTGATTGATTGAGAAGCGGCCGATTCCCTTTCAAGATGAGGTCCCGATTTGGGCGTTAATTAATCAATCAAGCTCGCTAAATTAAGCTTAGCGCCCGGCGTGAACGCATACCCCCCGCTGACCTTATTATCGTCAACAACAAATGTCATCACAGTACTATGCATATCAAGTTCAACAATCTCGTTGAGCTTGCTGCTCTTAACTGTTTTTTATTGCCCAAGTATTGCAGTCTATATCCTACCTTGGACTTGAACTACCTACCTAGGTAGCTACCACTACAAAGCACCGTATTAAGCCTCAAGCGGATGATCGACGGCTAGCCCCTGGTATATAACCTTCAGTTCCTCAGCAAGACTCAAGTGAGTCTCTAGTAAGGAAGCCAAGCACTTTCTTTGCCATAGACCCAGTACGGGAACTTATTGCACGCCCTGATCCTCAAACATTATGACATCCGCTCGTTCTACTACGATATTCCGATATCCATTGTCCATTGTTCATTGTCCATCGCTGCTGTCAGGTTACGACTTTGGTCAAAAGAACCAGTCTTTGCAAGTATCATTGAGCCCGACCTGAAGAATGCATAGTCGTCATATTGCGAATTGCAACGGATTTGATACCTCTTCTGCGTTGCCTCATTATTCATTGAACACTATCATGAACGTTATTTGACAATTTGCAACAAGCTTTTTGACTCTATCATTATGAAGAATCATTACAAACTTCATTTAGCGATCTGCAACAAATTCTTTTTCAAGTATTACTGTTTTGAAATGTTGACTCATAACTTGTTTAGAAATTATGACAGACGTAATGCCGATATGCAATACAAACCTTTCAAAAGTAGGTACCCTTATACCAAATTATATCATGTGGGTTTGTATTTGAGCTATGATTACATTGAACTATGGATTACATAATGCCGATATGCAACAGAATTCCATAAGAAATAAAGTGAGTGAGGGTTTTGATTACGAAATGATGACTAGTCTGAGCTTTGGTTTTCTAGAGCTCTTGTCTAAACTAGAAAATGCAATCCATCCCATTGCTTGCATCTATTACCAGCTATACAGTTTCGCTCATCGTATAAACAAATTACAACAAATACAATATGCCCTCCCAGGCTAGATTTTGATACTTGGAGCAGCGTGCTATACGGGTATTGTGCAATGGTAAGTTTGTAAGAGAAAGGGGAGCGTGTTATACGGGTATTGTGCAATGGTAAGTTTGTGAGAAAGGGGACCGCAGAGCATACAGCTGCTGCGAGATGGATGCGCCTAAATAGTTTAGGAGCAGGCTATGTGGTTCCGAAGAAGGATTTTCATCTCGAGGAGCTCGGAATCACAGACAACGTCAAGTTTTGGTACCGAAGTGACTGAGCTCTGAACACTAGCAAAAGCAACACACGTTTTCAAAGTTCTTCAAAGGCCTCTAGTAAGAGCTGGAGAGGTGTAGATCCCGCGACTATATACAGCAATCCTGAACCTCGTTCGCATTCGCACTCACGAGATATGTCAGCTAAGTGTTGTCGGTAAATGAAGAGAGAACCCCCGCTGGTAAGGCACGAGAATAGGGGAGAGACGAGAAGAGTGAGATAGAAGCCGTGTTTTCCGAAGGACAGATCCCTGAAATGACTGGATGAAGCAAGGCAGCACTGGTACTCCATACCATACACCTATACCTACAATCCAGCCCAGACGTCCCTCAGGCCACAGACAAAGCCAAGATTCCGGATATACAATATTATCATTGCATCGTTCAGCAGACTGCACTTACGCTCATCTTCTTTCTATAGCCGTTGTACAGTAATCCCTCCACGCTTCCAAGCGTCTCTAGGAGCGAACAAACCATAGACCAAACGAAATAGCAAGTCTCGTCAATGAACGCGGAACAGCATAGCATGACAGCAGAGGAATCTTTGACATCAGTACTTTCTGTTATGCATGTCTCAACCACCGACTGTAGGTGGCGGCTTTGAAAGAGAGAAGCAGAGGAGCAATGCTAGTACCGCGATGAGAAACCTCCCTGACGCTTGAATGGGGAGCGAGGAACTCCTAGGAAAACCGACACTTCGATGTCTCTTCTGAGATCTCCCGTCAGGTTTGATTGAAGATCCCAGGAGCTGGAACTGGACTTCAGATACCCGGAAGATAGGACTCAGGTTGCCGTAAGGACGGAAAGAGCGAGCTGGTGGGATGAGAAGAAAAAACCTCCGCGCTATTTACTGTCGCATCGACGATGAATGAGTCTGTGGAGCTTCTTATATATCCCCTGAGAATGGAAAGGAAGTATCCCAAGGTAGCAAATGTGCTGCCCGGAAAGCCGAATGCGTGCAGGCTGACGTCGATTCCACGACTTTGTTTATCCTTTAAACCGCAAGTCAACATCTCGTTTTGTTCTCTTGCTGTTTCAGTCTGGCATGACCCATGGTAGTCTTTTGTTGAAGCTGGATCGATAAATTACATACCCCTATTACATGTCTCCTTATCCCGCTCCTAATATCTCAACTCAACATCTAAAACCAAAACAGCTCCGAACCGTGATTTTGTGATATTGGGTATTCAACCGAGCTCGCCCCTCATACCATGCATGTCCTTGGAATGCAGGTTCGGGGAAGAGAGCTTTGCTTTTCATATGCCTCTTGAATTGAAATTTCAATACTTTGTAAAGTCGTTCCGGCCATTTTCCACATACGGGGTATGTTGCTAACTTGAAAGCTTT